GAGGCCTCCCCCTCCTGAACCTTCGACTCCCACCCAAGCCTCCAGCCCACCTCGTTCCAGGCTCCTGTCCACAGCTTCCTTTCTGGCATCAGCTCATTTCCACCCTACCTCTGGGGACCTTTGCCCTAGAAGACGTTTCCCAGGGCGGGGTCTGCTGGGGGCAATTAATCAGAGGAGGAGGAAGCTAGGCAGGGGCAAAGTCAGGAATCTAAAGGGCTAGCAGAGCCCCTGGTACTTGGTCTCCCAGAGGGCTGGAGGGAGACTGCTCAGGAGTGGGGCTGAATCTCCCCTCCCACTCTTTCAGACCCTGATTCAGGGCTACAAGGGTGGGGTTGAAGGGACAGACAGTACAAGGCTGGGCTGAGGCTACAGCCAGCACTGCCTATGGAAAAGGCCTGGTAGCTCTTCCTCCAAGGCTGTGGCCCCCTCCCACACTTTAAAGGTATACCTCCTCCCACTCAGCTCTCCAGGCCTCTTCTCCTGGGTTCCATGGATTGCATGTCTTTCTCCCACCCCAGATTCTTTTTTACAGCTCCCACAGGGCCCTCCCTGACCCCACCGCAGCAGCTTAGCCTGGACCCGCCCATACCTTCCCACCCCGTTTCTCAGCCACCCAGCTACCTGCCTTCATCATTTCTCCTTCCTTCCGGAGCCACCCTTCAGGTTCCAGTTGTCTTGGCCTTCCACTAATCCAGATACCCCCTCCCTTCCTGTCCCCAAAGGTCCTAGGGGCACATTCTTACCAGTCTCCCTCAAGACCCTCTCCCCGAGATTTTTCCATTCCCATACCCTAGGGTCCCCTCCCCGGATCCTAGCTTTTCTCCAACAGCGGCTGATACCATTAGCTGACCGGCTGTGGGCAGCAGTTACCCAGGCAACAGCAAGGCTGCCTAGGTAGGCAAGTCTGCAGCAGATAAGGAGGTGGAGAGGAGGATGGGTCAGCCCTGGTGACGGTCACTGTCTAGACTCTCCCTGTACCCAAGGCCAGTGTTGGAGGCCTGAGGTGGTTGAGGTTTTGCCAGAAAGGGAAGGAATGCCTGCTTAGATTCTGTGCTGGAACTGGTGCCACCTGGCAGAAAGCTTCCTTTTCACAAACAGCTTCCCTGGGACGAATGGGGTCCTTCATTCTCTCCACTGAGCCCTATTGCAATTCCCAGGGGGTCCAGGTTGCCAAAGGGCGGTTCCTCAGTCTTCCATTCGTTCCTCCCAGAAGAGGGTTATTCCTTGGGTGACAGATTCTGGTATCCCTGCTGTACCCCGTCTCCAGGGGTAGGAGGGAGAACTCAGCTACTTCTAAATGATGGCGCGCTGTGGATGGGGTGTGAGATGAGGGTACCTGGAGAGCTGGACACAGGCTTGGTTATCAGTAGCACCTCCCTCCCCAGCAACTTGAACTCTGCTTGAGGGGCTGTGTGTGTGCGAGTGTGAATGTTGCAGAATTGGGGGTGTGGGAAGTGGAAAAAGGACAGCGCGGCAGATTCTGCTTCGTCATGATGCCGGCTAATGCTCCCCTTGTTTGAAATGGATCAGCTGCAGCAGCAGCAGCAGCAACAGCAACAGCAGCAGCCGCAGCCGTGGTGGCCGAGCAGCACACCCAAACACACACACCCTGGGACCGGCCACTATCAGTTGGTGGTGGGGAGGAGCCCGCCCGCCCAGCGACCGCCCGCCGTCCTGCTCGCCAACCAGACAGGACTCCCCAGCACCGGGGACCCAAGCGGATGGCTTGCGGAGCAGCAGGGTGCGGGTGAAGGGGGTGGGGGCTCAGAAGGGAGATCAGACCGCTGAGCCGCGACCAGCACCCCTCCTTCGCCAGCTCCCACCCCACCCACCCCAAGCCAGCTTTCTTCCTGTTATTTGTGCTTCGCAAAAGCACGGCTGGGTTCCTGGAAGAGACGCCTCTTACCTAGACTCCAGAGAAAACGCGGCAACCCGTGGACCCGGGCCTATGCCTCTTGCCTCTTTGGGGCTTCCCAGCGCCTGAGCCCCACTGTCTGGGAAGAGGTAGGTGGCAGGATCTCCTGCCTCTCCTTCCGTGGGGACTTTGGGTTGTATCCCTGGCCGGGAGCGAGGTTTTGGATGTAGCAGGAATACTGGGAGAGGGTCAGCTCCGGCTCCTTGATCAGTGGGAGAACAAGCCTATGGAGCTCGGCTGGGTTTGACCTGATCAAACCTTATAATTTGGAGAGGATAATCTGGGATATTTCCGTGCAAGGAGTCCATGCTGACACCTCGCACCCACTTCCCTGGCTTCTCCATCCTACCCACCTAGCTTTCTCTGGCCAAAACCTCGAGAGGTAGGGTCATGGGGGTTCCCTGCAGGCAGAGAGCTGTTCCTGCTTTGCTGAATAATGCAAGAAACCCTTTCCAGCCTTCCCCCCCCCACACTAGGCCAGGTGCTCTCCAGGGTGGGAAGAGGTCACTGAGGCACACTTGCTGTTGGTTTAGAGCCTGCTCTGGAGCCCCTCCTCACAGAGGTCAGCCAGGTTGAGGTGGGGACCCAATGAAGAAAAATGAAGCCCAGCAGCAGGGTGTGACCACAGGCCAGGCTTGGCTCTGCTACTGCTGGCAGCTGATGTACTGGGAGAGGCTGGGTGCTGAACAGACAGAGATTCTTGGGCTTCTAGGGCTCCTCCTTTCCCGCTCCAGTCACACAAAGCTTGCTTTGCTGGGTAGGCACACCTGTGTGTCTCTCCCAGGAGACCAGTTACCAGGTTGTACCTGCCTAAGAGAAGGAAGAGGCAATACAGCTGAGGGAGTGGGGGACATGGAAAAAAACCCAGGGGGTAGGTCAAGTGAGGGCACTTTGAGTACTGCTGTCCATGCGCTCAGCCTAGGAATAGGTGTCATCAGGCTGTGTCTGGGGCTGTGTACATAGAGAACAGATACCAAGGGGAGGATTAGTGGGTGCATGTGAGTAGGTGTTCTCAGTGTGATACCATGTGTCATTGTGGGAGGCCTGGCAGGGAGAGTGGGGGCATGCTCTGGCAAGGAGGGCTGAGGAGTCCCCGTGTGTACCCATGTGCATGAGGTCTATTTGCAGCCGTGTGTCAGGTGGAGCTGTTCAGCCTGTGTGCTGTGCTCCTTTGTCTCAGTACTGCTGGCCTCTCTGTGGTTGGACCAACATCTGTCCACTGGTGGGCAATGTCCACAGAGTTCTTTTTTAAGAGCTCATGTGTGAGGAGAGTGGAGTTGGTACTTCTGAGTTCTGAAAGCTGGATTTAGAGTGTGAGAGTTTTCCCCATCCCCCAGTTCTGCCAATCTAACTGTACTGCAGGGCAGGACTCTTGGTAGAGGCCAGAGCATGAACATGGGATCAAGCAAGCCTGACCAGTTGAGGGACCTAGAAAGAGAGAACCTACCTCTTCAGAGGGAAGTATAGAGAGGGGACCTGCCAATTCAGTCAAGAGAGAAACCTAAGAAAAATCCGAAAATGTATGCATATTTGTGGGGTCAGTGGGAGAAAGGGGCACTGAGACTCAGGGTTGTCGTCATTGAAAATGGGTGGGAAGGCCCTGGAATAGGTGGACTCTGCATCCACACCCTGTGACTTCCTGGTTTAGTTCAGAGTGACAGGTGTCATATAATGTTGGAGTACCCTAGTACCCTAGACTATTTGAATAGATAGAAAAAGTTACAGAATATTGTATGAGAGAAGAGGAAGTAACAGGGTTTTTGCTGGTCTGAGAAAAGGCCAGGGTTGAGCTTGGCATAAGTAAGGCCTTTGGTGAGCCATTGGCCTGAGCAGGCCAAAGCCCTCCTGTCCTGTGTCCCACCCCACCCTAAGCACACACAGCCACTATAGTATGCCTGGTTCCTGCCCTGCTGGTGTGTTCCACCATTCTTCTCCCACCCTAGGATGCTGTTTTAGGAAATGGTGACCTAGCTGGATCCTGTCTTTATTTCTGGTATTGAGTTGTTGCCACAGCAACTGTGGAGGTGGGGCTGGGAGGGGGAGGAGGAGTGAAAGGCAAAGAGAGAGAGGGAAGGAGAAAAAAATGAAGGAAAAGGGAAGTCAGGAAGAAAAGAAACAGAAGGTTGGTGGCACTGAATGAGAGACAGAAGGCAGAGCTTGCCCCAGCCTGACCTAGTACATGTGGCCAGCTCACCTGGTTCCCTAACTCCTTTACTATCTGTGCCAACACCAGCCTGGTTTGATGATGCCTGGATGACCCAGAGCCAGATAGGATATCCTCATCCCACCCCTCCCCCCCAAGTCCCAGCTCCTGATCCACAGGTGAGGTGGAGAGCTGAGAGGCCAAGAGGCCCAAGTTCGGATTAAAGTGCAACCTTAGGGGAGAACAAACTTTTTTTTGGCCTAAATCTAGCCTGTGTGGAATTCCAGCTTGGATTCCCTTAGTTGGTCTTGTAAGAGTTAACCTTGACCTATCGGCCTTTTTCATACTCATCTCTAAGTGAGCAAAATGACAATTAGTGTGAAGTCTAGCAAGGCTACATGAACATCCCCAGCACAGGTACTGACACAGAGCAGTAGTGGTTGACTTAAGATGGGAGCAAAGGCTGGACCAGAGAACCCACCAGAGGCTGTGGGTGGATCTGCCTGCTGGGCCTTCAGTTCCACAAGTCCAGGGGCCATGGTTTAGATTCTCCCCTGCTTAGAACAAAAGCTTTGGGAAGGGTGGGTGCAAGCGTGGAGGTCCTTGTGGGGAGTCTTATCACCCACATCCCTGGGAGCTGCAAGGCTCTGGTTGCTGTGGAGATGAGAGGGTGGGTGGTGTGAGGTGGGGCTGGGCTGGTGGCTCAGATAAGGCAGGGACACCCAGCCGAGGGCGGGTGGGGCTGAGATGGAAGGATGAGAGAGACCTGCTGGCTGCTGACCTGAACCAGGGGAGGTTGAAGGGTGCCTGGACTTACTTCCTCCTCTGTGCGGTACCTCCCCCTCTTCCCTTCCTCCCTCCCTTCCTGCTGCAGCCTGCCCTTTTGGTCTGTGCCCAGAGAGATTGCTGGGACTTCAGGAGTATATGAAGGTTGAGCAGGGTGTACACGTGGATAGGAGAGGGATTAGGCCTGGAGGAAGCAGAGTGAGAATTAGCTTTGGGGGAGGGGATTCCATCTCAACGTGGGTGGGGGAGGCAGGTGCCTGTACAGTGATTTGACAGAAGCTGAGAAATATCACACACACACACACACACACACACACACACACACACACACACCTCCTTCCCTCCCACTCTCTCCCATCTCTCTTCTCTCTTCTTCTACTCCAAAACGTTTTCCCTGCTAGCCTTCTGACAGTCTAAAATTTTCCCAGTAGGAATCTTATTCCTAGACTAGGGATGCTGCTATGTTGACAGAGCGCTTTTCTAGCATGCATGTAGCCTAGGTTTGATTCCCAGCACCACATAAAACCAGGCATGGTAGGGTCAGCTGTAATCCTAGCACTCCTGAGGTGGAAAAGTTCAAGGTCATCCAAGATCAGGTTACTTTTATATAGTTGGAGAACAGCCTGGGCCACAGGGACCTTGCCTTAAAAACAAAACAAAACAACTTCAACTTAAATGCAAATATCCCCAGAGAAGTCAGACTGCCATTAGCCCCTCCCAGGAAGTTTCTGACCAGTAAAACCTGACACACAGGGATGCAGACCCTGAAGGAGGCAGGGGAGAAGCCCCATAATGTGGGGCATCTCAGGTGGAGGGCCAGCTGTGGATCTGAAGGGTCTGGAAGAGGGGAAAAAACCGAGGGTCTCAGTGACTCAAGTCACAGTTTTGCATGTAGTGTTACTCTGGTCAGTGGACTTAAGTTCCAAATAGCCCTATGTTCTTGACTTGCCAAAGTTTCAACTTCTTCCTCTACAAACCTGAGATAATAGTTCACAGGACTACGATGTCAGGGTGAAATGAAAGAATGTGAAGTGCCAAACACCGAGCCAGCCATGACGCAGACAGTCCGTAAACACCAACTATTAATATAACTCTGTCCATCAGTGTTTGGAATCACGTTCCTGAGTGGCTGTGCTGGGGAGCTGGTGTTTGTACATGTGAAACTGTGGGTCTTGTGCCATGTCCCCTGGGACCCCTTGGTTTCCAGTTCTCAGCACTCTGATGGGCAGCCACTTCACAATACACCCAACACCTGGTATTCAGGTCGGGTCACCACAATACTATTCTTCCTGCCAGCATGTGCTCAGCTGTGTGCTTCCCACAGTGACCCTCCTCAGCTCCCCTGCCCTCTCTCCCAGGCTATCTGGTAGATCTGCATATGAGCCTTCTTACTTTCTCTGGGAAAACAGGAGCCTCCTGACTGCTCCCTCTTAATGTCCCAGTGCTCTTGTTACCCAGCTTCCTGCCCTTTCCTCTCCTTTCTGAGCATGTGCCTTCTCCAGGGCCTGTCCTCTGCTTGGGCACAAATGGCCCTTTTCTATTTGCTGGCACGCTACTCCTCCAAGTGTCCCTCCCTGTTGCAGCTCAAGCCCAGGGCTTTCCTGCTTTAAAACCACTCTCCAAGAGCCCTCCTTTTCATTGCATAAATGCCACTCCTCCAGTGCATATGGCCTGTCCAGGTCCTGGCCCTCTAACCTCCCCTATCATGGAGCTTTGACATCCAGCCTGGAGGAATGCCACTTCTCTGGGTGCCTCTCCTCACCTCCCCAGTGTTGTCCTCCAGCTTAGCATTCCTCCACTTTGATCATTTCTGTTCTTGGCCCCATGCCCAAGTCTGGACCTTCCCCATACCCTCAGTGAACGCTGTCGCAGCTTCCTGGCTGGGCGCCCTGTGGTCCACCTCTGCCCAGTACAGCTCTCAGGCTGTGGCCTGATTCATTTGCCCCAAGCACTGCAGAGATCATGTCATTTTGTTGCTCACAAGAAGTTTTCAAGCCTTCTGTGATCCATGTTACCCACAGAATATAATCTAACTCTAGAGCTCAGTCCCTGAGTTCTAAAATACAGTGATATTTGCTGTTCTCCAGACTGACCCAGTATGTTCCCACGTCCCCACTTTTGCTCATGCCTTTGTCTGTCAAGAATCCCCTTTTTTTAAGCTGGATATGGTGGCCCATTCTTGTAATCCCAGTATTTGGGCAGCTGAAGCAGGAGGGTCATAGCATTAGAGGCCAGCGTAGGCTAGTGAGGTCCAGGCCAGCCTTGCTGGACTACAGATCAAAATCCTGTCTCAAAACAAAAACAAACAAACAAAAAACAAGCCACCTCTTTTCAGTTTTAAAAATATTATATTATTTTTATTTTTATGTGTATGAATGTATTGCCTATATGTATATAAGTGTACCAGTATCATGCAATGCCCATGAAGATCGGGAGAAGGTGTATTCCCCTAGAACTTGAGTTACTGACAGTTGTTAGCTGCCATGTGGGTGCTGGGAATCAAACCTGGGTCCTCTACAACAGCGGCCAGTACCCTTATCCCCTGAGACATCTTTCCAGCCTCTCAATTTTGTGTGTGTGTGGTTTTTTAACTTTTGTGTATGAGTGTTTGCTTGCATGTTTGTATGTGCATGGTGTGCATGCCTAGTGCCTGTGGAGACCAGAAGAGAGCATCAGACACACTGGAACTGGAGTTACAGATGGTTGTGAGCTGCCATGCGGGTCCTGGGAACCAAACTTGGGTCCTCTCCAAGAAGAACAAATGCTTTTAACCTCTGAGCCATCTCTCCAGCCCCCTTTTCAGTTTTTGTATGACATCAAAGTAGGCATCCTTCAAGGCCTCTGCCAAGTTCCTCCTCCTCTCAGAAACCTTTCCATTCTTCCTGCTGATCTCTCTCTCTCTCTCTCTCTCTCTCTCTTTCAACTTGGGGCCACAGCTGCTTCCTTATCTAGGGTGTGTACTGCTCCACTTTGCATAGGAGTTATCTGTGGGAGTGTCTTCTTTCTGGAGGGGCCTCATCTGTCCTTTCACTCACCTTTCTCTTCTCTGTAAGGTTCAGCATAGAGCGTTGTACTGTATTGTATTCACTGAAGAGTAGGTGTGTAGAAGTGTTTGTGTGGGTGCACAATACCAGACTGGGTGGGTGGTGGACGGATGGATGGATGGATGTATAAGCACTCACCTCTAAGACTAAGCCATAGGTATAGCTCTTGTGATAATGGCTATTAGCAAAGTAAAACTCAGAGCTTAGTGGGAGGGAGATCACAGCTCTTAAATGTATACTAGAATGCATTTTGTTCATCAGACACCTAGTGAAAAGCCTTTCAAAGTGAGTATCAAGAAGCCATGAGAAGTGTGAAGCTCTAGAATGGAATTCTGTTACCATAAGAACCAGAACCCTCATGTGCACCTCATGGCCAGGCTCTGGTCTTGGAGATGCCCTGGTCTTAGAATTCTAAACAGACTTAATAAACCTGGTAGTGCCAGGCCTGGTGGCACAAGCCTTTAAACCCAGTGCTCAGGAGGCAGAAGCAGGCAGATCTCTGTGAGACTGAGCCCAGCCCAGTCTATATAGCAAGGCCAGCTGGGGCTACAGGGAAGGCCCTGTCTCAAAAGACCAAAAAAAAAAAAAAAAAAAAAAAAAAAAAATCCATGAAAGAACAAAGAGAAAGAAACCCAGCAGAATCTTGTCTCTCCTCATGATGCACCTGGCACAGCCCTGGGTGGCACCCTGCCCTGTGCCATGCCATACTAAAGTCAGTGAATTTCATCTACTTGACCCTGGGCATGTTCTTAACCTCCCCAAGCCTGGGTTTCTTCATCTGTAAAATGGTCTACCCTGCAGCATTGCTGTGAAGATGAATCAGAATAATCTTTTTATCCTGTTTATTCATGTTAGCATATGGTGGTGCGGTCCTTGAAAGGCTGCTACTTGAAGCTGAGGCAGGAAGGCCACAAGCTAAAGGCTTGCCTGGACTACAGAGTGAGTTCAAAACCAGCCTGGGTAACTTAGCAAGACCCTGTCTTAAAATACAATATGAAAAAAAGAAGACAGGGACATAGCTCAGTGGGGGTGCATTTGCCTAGAGTGCACTAAGTTCAAGCCCCAGCATCATACACATGAATACAAGAAGTATCTAGCATAGAACATGAACACATTCAAGCAATAGAAGGTCTGGTTTGTGGTTGTCCTCCAGAAGTCAGCAACTGATTAATTCCAGGGACAAAGGCATCCTCTGCCAGGCAGCATAGCATCCAGCACTTAAATACCTGCTTCTGCTTCTCTGTGAATTCAGAAAAGGGTTATCAGGGGCACTAGAGCAAGGTAGCAGGGGGCTTTCAGATGGATCTAGGAGGATGAATGGCATGAGGGAGGCAGAGGTAGAGTGTGGACAGATTGGGGACAAGACTGGGAAGTGAGGGTAAGGGTTGCTAGTACAGGTAGGTTGGGGGACAGGTGAGCAGCAAAATGGCTGATACAAAGTGAAGGTGAGAAAGATCGGGAGAGCCAGGCATGGAAGTGCAGGCCTTTAATCCCAACACATGGGGGCCTGAGCCTAAGGTGGAAGGATTGAGAGTTTGAGGCCAGCTTGAGCTAGACAATGAAATCCTGTGTTGAAAGAGAAACAGACAGAGGAAGAGAGGGAGGAAGGGGGGACGAAAGGAAGAAAAGATAGGGAATACCAGTGACCTGTCTTTCATGACTGTTGTCAGAAACAGCCATAGAGAAGTCCCCTAAGTCCATCGGTCCCTGGGAAAATACACATATTATTGATAGCTAGCCCTCTACATAGAATATATCATGTTTTACACACTTCACACATCCTGCTCAAAGCAATCTTATGACGAGGAACTATTACCATCCCTCATTTAAAAAATGATCCCCGCACTTGGAAGGCAGAGGCAGATCTCTATGAGTTTGAGGCCAGCTTGGTCTACATAGTGAGTTCCAGGCCAGCTGGGGCTATAGGGAGACCCTGTTTCAAAAAGACAAAAAAATTTTTTTTACTTATTTTATGTGTATGAATATTTTGCATGTGTGAATGTAAATGTACCATGTGTGTGCAATGCCTGCAGAGGCCAGAAGAGGACATTAGATCCCTTGGAACTGTAGTTACCCATGGATTTTAGCCACCATGTGGGTGCTGGGAACCAAACCTGAGTCCCCTGAAGGAGCAACCAGTGCTCTTAACCACTGAACCAGCTCTAGCCCCTATCATCCCCATGAAAAAGATTATTATTATTATTATCATTGTCTTTTTTTGAGACAGGGTCTCCCTGTAAGCCCCAGCTGGCCTGCTTTGAGCAGGACATGTGAAGTAAGTATGTAAAACATGGTATATTCTATTCTCTGCCTCCCGAGTGCTGGGATTAAAGTTGTGCACCACCACACCCAGCCCATTTTTATTATTTTTAAAATTATGTGTATGTGTGTGTCTGAGTGCAGGTGCCTGTGCAGTCCAGAGGTGTTGGATTCCCTTGGAGCGGGACTTACAGGCAGTTGTGAGCTGTCCCATGTGGGTGCTGGAAATTGACCAGAGACCTCTGCAAAAGCAGTATCTGCTCTTAACCACTGAGCCATCTCTTCAGCCCTTGGTTTTGTTTTTTGTTTTTTTGTTTTGTTTTGTTTTGTCTTTTTGAGACAGGGTCTCCTTGTAGCCCCAGCTGTCCTGGAACTCACTATGTAGACCAGGCTGGCCTTGAACTCACAAAGATCCACCTGCCTCTGCCTCCCAAGTGCTGGGATTAAAGGCCTGCGCCACCACGACAGGTAGGTTTTGTTTTTTGAGACAGGGTCTCACTATGTAGCCCTGGCTTGCCTGGAACTCACAGCAATCCTTCTGCCTCAGCCTCCCAAGTGCTAGGATGACAGCATCACACCTGGCCTACCCTCCATTTTCTGGATAAGAAACATGCAGAGAGGGATGCCATTGCCTCACCAGAGCTGGCGTAGGGAGGAGGGGAAAGGATTGCTGAGGGGGTAACCAGGAAGAAGACATGGACTGTGGTCATAACCTATTGCACAGGCCTATGTCCCTAGGAATGGTGAGAGAGCTGTTGAACACGGGCACTCATGGAATCATGCCCCTTGAGAGAGTGCTCTGGGTATACACTGTGGGAGCAGGGATGTGGCCCAGGCCTCTGGGGTGCTTGACACTGTGCCTACCAGGAACACTGCCTGCCTGTAGGGAACAGAGAAACGTGACAGCAGCTCCAGACCATGCCCATGGCTTCATGCCAGGTGGGTTTTCTTCGACGGCATCTCCCTCCCTGCACTTTATTCTCATGACTAACTCAGTCTTCCATTATTAACCTTCCTGGGGAAGGTGTCTGGAGTAGATGGCAGGGGAAGGGGCACAGAGGCCGGGATGGGAGGGGCCAGTACACAGACTGGAGAGGGCCCTGGGCAGGGCAGGGGTGACAGGCCTGGGAATCTAACGGCCCGCCCGCCCAGGGATACAGACTGACCCCTGCCGTCATTTCCTCTGCGGCCAGAGAACAATGGCTCGAAAACAAGTGCAGTCGCCCCCCCCAGCCGCCTCCTGGCCAGATACTGCCACACTTCTGCAGGGCTGAGCCGCGTGCTGCCGGGACCCCGCCACCTAATGCCCTCTCGGCCTCTATCTCCTTCCAGAGCCTCGCGGCGGTCAGCAGCCTGGGGAGACCCGAGGGATGAGAACGCCACAGAGCAGTGCGACGCCTTCGCTGCAGGAGCCGGGCCGAGCCTGACGCCGGTTCTGTCCACGCGCACCGGCCTCCGACGGAGCGGCCGGCCCGCGGCTGCCGCATGGAGCGGCTGCAGAAGGTGAGCTGCTGAGCCCGGGCTCGGCGTGCCGGCAGAGTGGGGGCCACTGCCCTCCAGGGCCGGCTCGGGAGTCGCCGGGCGCCACCTGGTGGTGCAACATGCCGGGTTGCCCCCACCCCAACCCGAGGCCTAGGGCAAGCCCCGCGCTCATGCCCTCGCACCCACGCACATGCCCACTCCGCCGCCTTCTCGCTCTCCCCAGCAACCTCTTACCTCCCCCGGGAGCGTCAGCTCCTCCCGAGACTCCAGTATGCCCGGCTCTCCCTCCAGCATCGTGGTGAGTACCCCTGTGGGCCACCTGAACCTCAGCCTGGAGGAGGGAGGGACGGAATCCACTTCACCCTGAGTGTCCCCCCGCCACACACTCCATAGAGGTCCTGTGAGTCCTTGGCAGGCAGAGACCCAGGAGATCCCGGGTAGGTTCCCCACTGCCCTGCCAAGGGCTGGTCTAGTTTCGAAGTGCCTCAGAGGCAAAGAAAACATTTTTTTAAATGACTATCTAGAGCCAAGAGCGCACCTGTAATCCCACCATTTGGGAGGTGGAAGCAAGAGGATCAGGAAGTTCAAGCTAGCCTCAGCTACACAGAGGGTTTGAGGCTAGCCTGGAATACATGAGACGCTGTCTCAAAAATTAAATATTCTAAATCTTTAAACTTAGCATAATGGAGTTATTAACTCCATGAGAGTTGACATCTAAAATGGCTGTTTTCTGGATAGCCAAGTCTAACCAGTGAGGCAAGTGTCCTATGTGATGCTTTGGGGGAAATCTGTTCCATTTGGACCATTTCCCCTCAGGCCAAGATGGACAACCAGGTGTTGGGCTACAAGGACCTGGCTGCCATCCCCAAGGACAAGGCCATCCTGGACATTGAACGGCCTGACCTCATGATCTATGAGCCCCACTTTACCTATTCCCTTCTGGAACACGTGGAGCTGCCCAGAAGCCGGGAGGTGAGGAGAAGGGTGTCCTCTGGGCAGGCTTGGGTGGGGGTTGAGTGATGAGTGGGATCTCCCAGCACAATCTTTCCTGTAGGCAGAAAGAGAGGGAGCTATGCACAGGAATCAGCCCTGTGTCTGGGCAGAGTTAGCAGCAGGCTCAAGGCCAGGGTGTGACCCAGAAGCAGCCAGAGCTGCCACAGCTGAATGGCAAGCTGCAGTTGGAAAGTGGCTCATAGCAAAAGGGTGGAAGAGGGTCCAAAGAGCAAGTTCCATCAAGGGAGCATCAGAAAGCCTAGTTGAGGGTCTGGAGTGACACTGTGGCCTCAGTTTCCTCTCCAGTCACATAGAGGTGATAGCTGTGCCCATGTATATCAGGAGGTAATTGGGGCAATGCACGGATAGGTACTATGTCACCTTTACTCAAGCAAGGAAGGGGTCATGAACTTGTGAGATAGCTCAGCAGGTAACAGCACTTGTGTGCAAGACTGATGACCTGAGTTCTATCCCCAGAACCCATGGTGGAAGGAGAGAAGGGACTCCTGAAAGCTTGTCCTCTCCATATACGTTCTGTGGCACATATACACAAAATAATAATAATAAAAATAATAAAATTTGAATTAAAAAAGAAAGAAGCCATGCCAAGGTGAGCTGGACTGTCAGACTGGGAAATGAAGCACCCAGGAGCCTTGACTCCATGGTGCTGTTTGTTGGTCTGGTCCCACCGTTTCTTGTCCGGCTCTAGAGTCAGGGCTGTAGCTAGTTCCCAGCTGCCCTCAGAGCATGAGAAACACTGCTCCTAGATCTGTGCTATGTATGAAAACACTCAGGACTGGGAGAATACTGGGAGAGGAAGGATGAAGGCAAGGCCAGAGACTGGCATGGACCCAAGAGGAAAGAGACTTGGCTAGGAAAATAGGTGGAGTGGGGTGGGTGGGGGGTGAAGGTAGATCCTCTGGGATTCTAGGGTTGTAATTCTAACCAGCCTCCACTCTATTCACAGCGTTCACTGTCCCCCAAATCCACATCCCCGCCTCCATCCCCAGAGGTAAGTCTGCCCCAGCCCTGCTCTGCTGGGGCCCCCAGCTTCCTTCCCCCAACATGTCCAGCCTGAGTTGGGCAAAGCTCAGGAGATGATGGAATCAGCAGATCCTGACCAGTCACTGGCCAACTCTGCCTATCAGTCTGCCTGACCCAGGGCCTCGGTTAACTCTTTCCCACTGGCTAGGCACCCTGAGCAGGTGGATGGAATCCTTGGACATGCTTCCTCTGTCAGGACATTACCCTGGGCTTGGGATGTGTGCTGCTGACATGGGAGGACATAAAGGGTGTCCTGAGGTGAAGCGATGTACTTGGGAGTGGGAAGTGGTATGGTGAGGGGAACCTAGGAGCAGCATACTTCTCTACAGGTGTGGGCTGAGAGCCGGACCCCTGGAATCATCTCTCAGACTTCAACACCAAGAACCACGGGGACCCCCCGGACCAGCTTGCCCCATTTCCACCACCCTGGTAGGTTTCATAGTCAACCCTGGCTGAGTCCTTTCCCTGGGACTTCATTTCTCTTCAGGACCCTCATATTCCTTTCTCTTAGTCCCTGTTCTTTGGTTTAGAGACCTAGCTGGATCCTATAATGTCAGGGTATCAGGCAGAACTCCTAGCAATGGTGGTGGGCTTGCTATGTCTTCCCTCTCACCCAACCAGAGATGTGCAGAAAGTCCCATGCCCCAAGGCACAGTGCCAGGACCTCCAGTTCTCTTGCTCACGTCCTGTTCTGTTTGTCCCTTTCCATTTGTCTCCATTCTCTTCCTGGACTTACCATCCACTGCCATCAACACATCTGTTCTTATTCCCTCTCTCAGAGACCACCCGCCCAGATTCCAACATCTACAAGAAGCCACCCATCTACAAGCAAAGGGGTAAGGGCTCCCCTGACTTCCTGGGTACACCTTCTACCACTTGCTAGGGGGTGGGGGCTGGGCCACGTCCTGACAGCAGAGAAAGGATATGAGATTAACCTTGTGAGGCCTGTTCACTTACCCTGTGCTGTTTGCTGTGGGTTACCGTTACATCTGGGGTCTCACGGATGTGAAGGGAGAGGAGTCCATGGGTGAGCCAGGTTGACTGGCTGCATGGTTAGCCTGGGGAGAGCTATGTGTATGCTGACCCTGGCTCTATCTGCAGAGTCCTTGGGAGGCAGCCCTCAGAGCAAGCACCTCATCGAGGACCTCATCATAGAGTCGTCCAAGTTCCCTGCAGCACAGCCCCCTGACCCCAACCAGCCAGCCAAGATCGAGACTGACTACTGGCCGTGTCCCCCGTCGCTGGCCGTTGTGGGTAGGAAAAAATGAGACGAGGAGAGAGGGGAGGCTAGGATCCTTGCTCACTACTTCCTCTTGATCCTTTGAAGCTCTATGAACCAAATTCCAGCCTACCCTACACCCACCCTAAGGCTCCTCCTAGGCTTTTCAAACTTTCCTTTGCCCATAAACTCATTGCTTACCTATCCCCTGCGCCCACCCACCCTTGTGTGCTGCCGAGCAGGGCCCGCTTGTTAATTATTCTTTCTCTTCCTGTTCATTATTCAATTACTTAACAAGCATTTCTCAAACTTCTGCAGTATGCCAGGCCCTGTGATAGGAGATTTGGGAAAGAGAAATAAATGAGAGGTTTTGGTCCCCACAGCATTTAAAAGATGTGTGTTTCTTGTCTAGCTTGTTAATTCTTACTATTATTATATATTGTTATATATTACTATTAATATTTTGGTGGTGGGGATCAAACCCAGGGCCTTGTGTCCCTTTTGAATCATACTCTGTCACTAAGCTGCATCTTCAGCCCCCTTACTTTATTTTTACTTATTTTTATTTTTTAAGGTTTTATTTTATTTTTAATTATGTTTATGTGTGTGTATCTGTATTTGGATTTGTGTACAAGAGTTCAAGTACCCAGCCAGGTGTGGTGGCACACACCTTTAATCCCAGTACTCAAGAGGCAGAGGCAGGAGGATCTCTGCGAGTTCAAGGTCAGCCTGGTTTACATAGCTAGCACCAGGCCAGCTGAGGCTATAGGGAGACTCTGTCTCAAAAAGAAAAATAAAATAAAAAAACAGTTCAAATACCCTCAGAGACCAGAAGAGGGCATTAGATCTCTTGGAGCTGGAGTTACAGATGCTTGTGACCTACCCAAGTGGGTGTGGGGAACTGATCCTCTGCAAGAGTAGCACCTCTGAGCCATTTCACACATACACCTTTATTTTTTAAAAAGAATTTGGGGCCGGAGAGATGGCTCAGCAGTTAAGAGCACCTACATGAGCAGTTTGATTCCCAGCACCTACATGATGGCTAACAACCATCTGTAACTCCAGTTCCCAAGTGATCTGACCTCATGGGCATTGCATGACATGGATACACATATACACCTGCAGGTAATACATTCATACACATAAAACAAAGCATATAATAAATAAAGTATTTTTAAAAAAGAAATTGTAGCACTAGATGTGGTAGTGCACAGCTTTAGTCCCAGCTACTTGGAAGCCGAGGTACAAGGGGCACTTGAGACCAAGAGTTCAAGGCCATGCTAGGTGACATTGCAAGGCACTGTCTCAATAATTTTTTATTTTTACTTTTTTTTGGTTTATTTATTTTTATTTTATGCATATGAGTATTTTGCCTACATGTATACAAGTGCACCTGTGTGTCCAGTGCCCACAGAAACCAGAAGAGGGTGTCAGATCCCCTGGAACTGGAGTTACCGAGGATTGTTAGCTGCCATGTGGGTGCTGGGAACTGAACCTGGGTCCTCTGCCAGAGCAGCCAGTGCTCCTAACCACTACACCACCTGTCCAGTCCCACACTAATTTTTAAAAATATTTATTTTATTTATTTAATTTTTGGTCTTTTTGAGACAGGGTCTCCCTGTAGCCCCAGCTGTCCTGGAACTCACTATGTAGACCAGGCTGGCCTTGAACTCACAGACATCTGCCTGCCTCTGCCTCCCAAGTGCTGGGACTAAAGGCATGTGCCACCACACCTGGCTTATTTTTATTCTACATGTATGAGTGTATTATCTGCATGTAGGTAGGTACACCCATATTGTGCAATGCCTGAGGAGTTCAGAAGAGGGCATCTGCTCCCTAGGAACTGGAGTTGAAGATGGTTGTTAGTTGCCATGTTTGTGCTGGGAATCGAACCTGGGTCTTCTGTAAGAGCAGTCAGTGCTCTTAACCACTGAGCCATCGCTCCAGCCCCACAATATCCTTTTTTTTTTTTTTTGTGGGGGGGTGGTCTTTTTTGAGACAGGTTCTCCCTGTAGCCCCAGATGGCCTGGAATTAAAGGTGTGCGCCACCACACCCAGCAATACTTTTTTAAATTAAACAAAAATCAAAAAGGATTTGTATAGTGTTCTCTTCAAAGTCTAGCCCTGTGCCACGTGCTGGAGAAGCCGAGGGCTGAGTAGCTACACTGGTTCTTGTGCTGTATCTCCTAGAGACAGAATGGAGGAAGCGGAAGGCATCTCGCAAGGGAGCAGAAGAAGAGGAGGAGGAGGAAGATGACGACTCCGAAGAGGAGATTAGGGCGATCAGAGAGCGGCAGAAAGAGGAACTCAGTAAGGTAGCATCTTGCTCCCCTGCCCATGTCATCTGGGGGAGAAGTGTTCTGGCCCCATAGCTAGTCTAAAAGGCTCATACCACAGAAGCAATTGTGCTAGAACAGGTGAGACATGCCTTTCCTTCCCCAGGATTTTAGGGACACGTGGCCCTTAGGCTGCTTTTGGAAGGATGTCACCAGATATTGGGGCTCAAAGCACAGGAAAGGGTGGACCCACCAGCACTGAGTTTCAGCAGGCAGAGTAGTTCGTAAGAAGAAAAAAGCATGAGCCAGTGAGTGGTACAGTGGAGGAGAGAGAACTGGGAGCCATGGAAAGGCCGTTGCTGGTGACATGGCTTGTGTTCTTGGCATGGTGGCTTGAGACAGAAAAGGCCACTATGATAGAGTTCCACTGAGTTTCTATGACAAATTTAAAGTAGTTGAGTATCAGATAAGATCAAAGAGCTCCATGGGCAGACTAGCCACCTGGGAAAACTGTTACCAGTCCTCCTGGAATGTATCCAACTCTATACTTTCTCTTTTTTTTTTAACATTTTATTTATTATTTTTATCTTAAGTGTATGCATGTATTGCCTGCATGTATGTGAGTGCACCTGTGTTGTGCAATGCTGTGGAGGTCAGAATAAGGCTTTGGATTCCCCTGGAACGGGAGTTAAGGATGGTTCATAGCCACCATGTGGGTGCTGGGAATTGAACCCAGGTCCTCTGCAAAAGCAGTTAGTGCTTTTAACTGCTGAGCCATCTCTCCAGCCCCTTATTTATTATTTTTATCTTAAGTGTATGAGTGTATTGCCTGCATGTGTGTAAGTGCACTTGTGTCATGCATCAACTCTGTACTTTTCAGAGATGGGAAACAGGTGGCTCAGGCTTGGTCCCATCCTCCTCCCTCCCCAACAGGTTACTTCAAACTTGGGAAAGATGATCTTGAAAGAAGAGATGGAAAAGTCATTGCCCATCCGGAGGAAAACCCGCTCCCTGCCTGACCGAACACCCTTCCATACCTGTGAGTCTCTTGGAGAGGGCTTGGGATCAGCTGGTGAGACCAGCACTGGGGGCAAGGGGAATGCAGTGTGTCTATTGAATCATTAGCTTTAAACCATGTGGCCCTGGTGCAAAGACCGCATGTGGGCTCCCCTGGGGCAAGAATACAAATTAGCAGCAGGCAGTAGATGGGAAGAGAAAACAGCAGTACAAACAGGGTCAGCAACTCTAGTTTTATTTAAGTGACACTTACTGAGGGTCTGTTACTTTGAGAGGACAATGACAGGATCTAGAAGGCTCACTTAAGTCATTGAGGGAAGGACCAAGTAAATGGGGAAAAAAGTCCTTACAGATGTTAGGAATTGTGCAAGAGAAAGGCAAGGCGGGAACTAGAAACACTGGCAGTCAGAGAACGAACGGCCGGAAGTGAGATCATGGAGCACAAGCACAAGCACCATGCATTGAGGCACAGAAATGGGTGAAGAGGGCTTTGAGTGCTGGACCTCTGGGCACCCTCAATCTAGCCTGGACTCCTTGAGAGCATGGTGACTGGACAGAGAGGGAACGGAACTGACTGCCCAAAAGCAAGCTCTGAGACTTCTTAAAACCTGACCTTAGAGGCCATGCCACGTCACTTTGCTGCATTTTGTTGGTCAAAGCAGGACACCAAAGCTATTGTGGTGACACAAGTCTGTGGTCCCAGCACTGAGTCAGAAATGTCGGTCACCTGAAGCCTAGACTCAAGGTGGGGATAGACACTGCCCCATGATTCAAGGAACTACAAGGTCTCATTGCAAAAAAGCAAACAGGATGGAGTGAACAGAGATGCGAGTCATCTTTGGAAGCAATCTGCTCCACTTCTGAGTAGCTGAATGTATTAGTCTGCTTTCTGTCACTGTGGGGAAATACTTGGCCAGATCTGGTGGAGGAAGCCTGTAATGTCAACAGCTGCAGAGGCCGAGGCAAGAGGACTGAAAACTTAAGGACTACCATGGCTACAAATTGAGTTCAAGGCCAGCCTGGACAATTAAGTGAGACTCTGTCTCAAAATAAAAACATATAAAAGGACTGGGTATATAGCACAGTGGTGGACTGCTTGCCTAGCATGCAAGCACCCAACTTTATGGAGAAAAGAGACTTAGCTCCTAGTACTAGGGGTTCTAGGGTTTGTACCTGGTAGTGACTTTCTTTCCCAAATACCAAGATGATATTTTGCTTCTCTTCTCAGAAAGATAAGAAAGATACCAGGATTTAACCATGGGGCTCCAGCTCCACTTTTTTGACCACATCATTCATATATATATATATATAT